TTCCGAATTTTTTGCTATCGTTGCTTTCTATCTTAACCCTGACCTATTGTTCCAGAGTAGATGCCAGCTGGCGAATGGGCGCAACTTATAAGGTAGCTGACCTGGTATTCCAGGCAACAAAAAGCTGCTACTAAGCCCCCCCCCCCTATACTGACACCTGGTTCTTCCAAGGGCACATGCACTGACTTCACATACCACTGATTTGCTGCACATGCGCGTATCATTGTCACCATATTTGCTAATGCCATCGACAAGTCTGGGCATGCGCAGTTGAAAGAACCAGAAACTCTGCTTCTCCACCTCACTTGTGGGTCTTCGTAGATTGTGCATGGAGCTGCACTCAGTATTTTAGGCCAACGTGTATGTTCCTGCTCATGTTCCAGTAAACGCCACCATTATATATTATTGCCTGGAGTGATATAAGTGAATAGCCTCTCGAGACCATGCATGCATGGTTTAACATTGCTGAACTGATGACTGCAACTGGCTCCTGCCACCCACACTGCCATTACTACAAAACCCTGACACAGCCCTCGCGTCTGTCATATTAAAGTTTAAATGTGAAATTAAAACTTATTCAATTACCATTTATATGTCAAATTTTATATTTATACACATGCAAAATATTTAGATATACCAACCTCTTCTACTTAAAATAGTAATAAACTCTCAATTTTTTTCAATAATAAATCCAGTTCAAACAAATATACATTGCTCAGCTAAGCATTGCTTTATTTTTGTTTGCCTAACTATTTACAATCATCAAGTTGAACAGCTGCTTCCAAGTCTCTCAGCTCAGCTTTCCTGAACTTCCTGTCCAGTACAAGATAACAAAGGACAAAGCAGACTCCAGCAACTGTTCATCTACTAGCTTGGAGAAGGGAGGAGAGGGGGCCAGGGGGGTAGCTGAATTTGCTGTGTCTATGTGTTTGTGGAGACACATACAGCTTACTAGCACACACAAGGGTGACTGCATAGCACTCTGCTTAAGAAAGGGGTCACTCTAAAACAGGACGTTGGGACCAGTGCTCAGGGGACCAGCTGATTCTGCAGGAAACTAAAACGTTTAAACATCAAGGAGCAGCATCCATCGTAAGTGATTTCATCAGCATTTGAAATAGCTTACAATCCTTTTGACTTCAATATATCACTTTAACATTCTTTTTTATTGTTCTGACTCACACATCTAAGGTGGAAAACCAAAACTCGATTTTACTTCCTGCATTCTTCTTTTATAATAAGCATAGGATCGCATAGGAAGTGTGTAAAAAGTAAAGTTTCAACATTTGTTTAAATGTGTAGAAAAACTTGAGGGTTGTGCTAGTGGTGAGCTAGTAAGATAATGTAGAACAAATTGTTCCTACAGTAATAGGCTAGGAAATGTTAATGGTTCAGCAGATTGCAGATAGGAGCAGTACTGAGGTTTTGGTTATGTGGAATGCTCAGTAGCAGGGTTGCAATAGAATAAAAGGGTACAAAGCAGTGATGTGTTCATGGAATGAAGAGTCCAGTGTATATAGTTCAGTGGGATGCAGTGTACAACACAGGATAAGCCTGAAAGAAGTAGAGACTTTCTAAGATTCTGGGGTGTTCACAGAACTGAGAACAGAGTAGTGCTCAGAGGTCAGCATTTTATACAGTGGTATAGACAGATCAGTAAAAGGTGAGTTAGAGAAAGTATAGACCTGATGCAGAGTGTTGGAGTACCTACCAGAAGGGCTGGATTTGGAGGACGGATGAGCAGGCTGCATACAAGTGATCTCGGCAACATTGTGGGAAATCCAACCCTGCTTACCAGGGCAGCAGAGACAATTGGTGCATGCCGGATCGAGGGTGTACGAGTCCAGATATGTTATATACAACACTCGGGCAAAGATTAGTGATGTGCTACAGGCGCAGGAGTTTTTATTCTATAGAAACACCAAATAATTCCTATTCTAAAAATCTGTAAGGAGTTATTTCAAGCTATAGGGTGTAGATCAGCCATGCCCTATGGGTCTATTAGGCATTCTCCACTGCCTGGCTAAAAAAAAAGGTTACCACCTGGATTTAGCTTAATGTTGTGATCCCAGGTTGCTTCGGTTGGTCAGGTCTAGGTTCAGCAACGTTAAATGAGGTCAGCTGCCTACCTGAATACATTGACTGACTAGGTTTTTCCATCAATGGCGTTTTTCTTTCCTGATGGCACATTGGCCATATTCCAAGGTGACAATGCTAGGATTTGTCGGGCTCAAGTTGTGAAAGAGTGGTTCAGGGAGCATGAGACATCATTTTCACACCTGGATTGGCCACCACAGAGTCCAGACCTTAAGCCCATTGAGAATCTTTGGGATGTGCTGGAGAAGACTTTACACTTTTCACACTCACGTGAATTGAGTTTGAGACTTGCGTCTCAAACTCAATTCACTCGGGTGCCACTGGACAAATTTTTTTCTCCCATGGGGGCCGCTTGCCAAAATTCATACTTCACACACACACAGAGATACGCACACATAGAAATACACACACACGGAAAAATGCACAACCACCCACAACCAGAATTACAAACACTAATATACACACAATAAGGACCCATTCACACCTGTCTGTTTAGGTGTGATTAGGGATTCCTGCGTCAGGAACTTGCGTTTTCCTGCAGCAGGAATTCCTAATTTGGCGTTTACATGCGACAGCTGTCACCTGTTCAAGTTAATGATCAGGTGACAGCCGCTGCTTGTAAATGCTGGAATACTGCATGTAATGGTAATACAGTAAGTGAGAGGAACTTGCCCAATAGGGGTCAAAGACAATAAAACCTAACTGTGTTTTTAAGGCCTTGTTCACACCAAGCGCGGAGCAGATCCAGACCAGAGCAGGTGCAGACTGGATCAAAACTGCATCCAATGTATTCCTACGGTATTTTGACCTCCAGTTCACATCGCAGCGTGTAGATCCAGAGCAGGTGAAAAAACTGCGGCAAGCCCTATTTTACCTGCTCTGGATCTGCTCTGGAACGCATCAAAAACGCATGCAAGTGCCTGAAAGCCCATGTTAAACTTAAAAAAAAAAATATATTTTTTTTTACCAAATCCGGCCCGGAACGCATCAAAAACACGTCCAAAACGCGGCACAACCCACTGCACTGCGTGTGCAGAAACCTGACCGGATCTCCTCTGCATTTGGTGTGAACAAGGCCTAACATTCACCTGCGCCTATATGCATATTAAAGTATTTACATATTCAGAATAACCAGTTTAAAACCAGTTTAAAGTTAACATTTCAAAACAAACCCTCACGGACCTCTGTAAGTAAAGGCATTGTGGAGAAATGTATCTTCAAAGTTTACAACAAAGACTAAAATTACGCCTCCTCTCACCTAAGTGTCTCTGGCAAGAGAAACGTGATTCCCTTCCAGCCCTCTAATGTAAACACACAGTAGGTGTTTCAAGAGTATCTGCTCTGATCTGAAGATTAATCAATACTTGCAATTACAAAAATCAGTAAGGGCTTCTTTTAAAGTCTGGAGACATATCAAACCACTTTCAAGTCTTTATTGTCTGTGACTCCATTTGGGTAATTTCTTTCTCACATGTGCAGTCACCTGGACAGGAAGTAAGGAGAATCTTTTAGACATGAATACATAAGAAATGATGGCACTTTTTTTTTTTTTAATTTCTATGTTACATACAGCAATACATCTGATTGGCTGCTATACAGCAGCAGCAGTAAAAATTACTCTTGCAGGGCCCCTCCTCACTGCAAGAGTTAAAGGCTCATTTAGTCTGGGGTGATAGGAATAAGCAGTATTACTTACCCTTTCCCTTGCTCCCACAGGCTTCCTCCTAGCTGCAAAGCCGGTCCCCCAACCCTGTTTGACTTCTCCGCTCTGCCAGTTGCAGGCTTTTCTGGCGCCATCATGTATGATGCAGGATCAGTAGTCCTGCAACGTACATGAGGATGCTGAGGGCCTGACCAAAGCCTGGGAGTGTCGGAGAGTGCCAGATGCTGAGATAGTGAAGAATAAGGTATTATTTATTTATTACAGGTATCTACTATACAGCACCGTCATTTTACACAGTGCTTCACATACTGTACATTCACATCAGTCACTGCCCTCAAGGAGCTTACAATCTATAGTCACTATCTCACATCTCTCACATGCATATATAGTATATACACACATGGGCCAATTTAGATAGGAGCCAATTAACCTACCAGCATGTCTTTGGAGTGTAGGAGGAAATCTGAGTACCCGGAACAAACCTACACAAGAACATGGAAAACATCAAAACTCCTTGCAGATAGTGTCCTGGCTGGGATTCGAACCAGGGACCCCCAGTACTGAGAGGCAGAACCGCTAAGCCACTGTGCTTGTCTCCCCCGGAGTTCAGCTTTAACCCTGCTGAGTGGCTGAAGACTAGTGATGAGCCTGGACTTGGTGTGAACCCAGTATGCCCAAACCCTCTCAAAACTGGGACTGTCACCCCCTCTTCCAGACCCAGTCAGTGGCTGAGAGGTGCATTCCCCACCCCGCAGCTATATGTCACAAAGAGATGGGGAATGCCTCCGACACAACTGCCACCACTGTTTGACCCGGGGGAAGGGTGGCGGTCACAGTTTTGAGCAGGCTTGGGCAAACTCAGGCGAATTAAGTTTGCACCAAGTTCAGGCTCAACACTAATGAAGACAGGACCTCCATCAAGAAGATATAGTATGATAAAGCCCTTAAAAGATAAGAAGAAGAAGCCAGCGGTGGATTTAACCTGATGGGGCAAAGCCATTGCCAACATAATCAGATTTGGGTGGGCTGACCCTTTGATTAGCCCAATTTCCGCAATCCTGGCCATGCTTGGAATATGTAAAATAATATAATGACGTAATAACAATCCCCACAAATTTACAATAGCTGACAATTTTTTTACTACAGCATATTAATTAGTAGCAAGTGGATCAATTTAAGATTTCAAAGAGGCTGCAAGCTTCTCCTATGAGACAGTCACTTCTCCTGATGAGATCCAGACAGTGGTGCTGGCTCTGTGTGTACAGCTCAACTTCCAGCAGTCTCTGCTCCAGCATCTGCGGTCTGCAGTGTTTTCAGAGGACGATCTGACGGCTCTTCTTGAAGTGTTTTCATTTCTTCATATTAAAGATGAGGCACTTTTCTGCAGCTGTATTGATTTTCTGCCACATTGTTCTTTGCAGAGGAGAAAGTACTTTGACCAGTAGTAACTTTTCCCTTCTCTCTGCCAAGGTAAGCCATTTACTACCGATATAATGTCTATGTTACTATAATGCTATGGATACAGCATGTAGCTCAGTATATGTAAATATATTAAACCTTATTTATTTAGGTAGTGCAAAGAGCACTGGAGTGCAGTGATCTGAAGGAACTAGTTTACAGCAATCTATACACAAACTATTGACAATGACTTGCTATGGGTTATCTTGCACTTGCCTTATACAGGACACTATTTAGAATGGGTTATTTCAATGTGTGTACATTCATGCTTTATTATACAGTTGGATCCTGTTAGACACAGAATAATGGAATTTGTAAGAATGGATTAGAGCTGGAACCCCAACTGGGCTCTTGTGTTGCTAGAAATACACAGGATGCCATGGCTGGTCTCTACTAAGAATTCAAGACGCTTGGCTGTCATATTGCTCCATTGATTTCAATATTTAGCAAGTCAATCCTGAAGATCAGGATTGACTAAGAGAGTACGGAAGCCAGCTTGATACATGTTTAGGAGGAAGTCAGCATATGCAGCCATTACTTTTTATGCAATGACAGGTTGGTCACCTTTAATCCACAAGAAGACCATGCGTGCCAGTGATCTTGGAGAGAGCTTTGGATACAAGAAATAGTGTCTTGAGTCACCTATCACTCCGTACAGTGTTGCGACCTTACTGGATGGTGGTTCTTGCAGTGATGACATAAATGGTGCCGGGTGGAACTCCAATGAAGATCAGATAGTCACCAGCAAACAAGCAATGTATCATTGATCCTATCCTCATTGGCCCTATGTGACCTGAAAACTTTGGCTGTGTATGACAAATGGTGACAATGATTCTATAAATCGTAATGGGATCAACAATACATTGTGTGTGTGCTGGTGACTATCTGATCCTCAGCTTTGGATACAAATCTGTTAACGCAGATATGTGTATTCTGCATATTTGGAAATTCGTTTATGTCACTTAAGCTGGCCACACACTACTCGAATTATGGAGACCTGATGACTCTGCTGAAATTCGACCATTGTGTGGCCCGTCGGGGTTGACTTTTCAATCAACTTTTGTCAATGGTGCCAGTCTGAAAAACCAGTCTGGTCAGGTCACTGTTTGGGTATTCTGACAACAGCATGCACACCTCTGTCAGAATACAATAGTCCAGCAGGAGATGGAGTCCCTCATCCATGCTGTTTGCCTGAATAGGGGAATTAGAAGTTTTTTCTTGTGTGGCCAATTTAAGGCTTTAATGTGATATTGAAGCCTACCATTTTATATTTCTACTATTGATGTGAACACTTACCTGCTTTGCTGCTTCTCCACATGCTGTCTAGTGATAAGCCTGGGCTTAATAAAAACTCAGTTCACCTGAGTTCGCCCAAGCGCACTCAAAACTGTGACTGCCACTCCTTCCTCCTGACCCAATCAGTTGAGGAGAAGTGTATTACCCAACCCGCACCTATAGGTCACAAAGGGACATGGGAATGCCCACAACTGCTGCCACTGATCGGGTGGGATGGGAGGAGTGGCAGCCACAGCTTTGAGCGGGCATGGGGGAGCTTAAGTGAAATGGATTCACACCAAGCCCAGACTTATCTCTAGTGCTGTCTTCCTGTCCCCCTGAAACATGTGCTTTCCCTTTTTTTACTGTATAACAGTGGACCCTTCGCTTGAAGGGTCCCATGGAGCCACCCGTTGGTGTGTGCTTCAAGGAGAAACTACAGGGTGACATAATGATGCTGCCTGCAATGACAGACACAGGCAGCCCAAGAGCAGTGTGTAAAGCATCTTGTGTGCACCACGCATGCTGAACAGCACTGTGAATTAGTATGTAGATCTCAATGAAGTGTGTTAAAGTCACCATACTTGTAGTTCATTGAAGAGTCTGCAGGAGCCTGTGCATTGTACTGGTTGCGGTTTCAATGCTTTGCAGGCTCCAATGCAAAAAACGTATTCAATGCCACATTTTTTCTTTTATCTACGTGGGTGCATTTATTTATTTATTTTACCAAAAGGGTGGACCATGCTGTTAATCAGTTAACTATACTTTATGACCCTTTGGTTTGTGGTTTATTATTTGAACTAATTTCTCCCTTCTTCACCAAAAGAAAAATGTAAAAGTAAATGTCCAAATCCTCCCGACCTTCAGACCCTTTCTAAGCTGGACTGGATAATGACAGAGAATGAATGTGTTAATTGGAGTTTGGTTCCTGTGGGCTAGTAATGAAAGTTTTCAAGCTTGAAAGTTTATATACCTATAAAGCAAGGCGTGTAAAGACAGTTAACAAGTGGCAGTTAATATGTTTGACAGACGGCATGGCATGTTATTTGACTGTCCCGTCATTCCATTAACTCAGAAGATGGAACATTTGAATGTTAGTAAGTCTACAGCTCAGGCTACGAAAAGATACAATATACTTCTTTTAGAACTGTTTGGTCAAATGTTTTATTTGACTTAAAGTGAACCAAATGTGGAAATCAACTTCTAAAACTAACTTTTGCGCAAGCACTTACAGTCATCATGTTTCCAAACAGCTCCAACTCTCTCAGCTCCACTTCCCTAAACTTCCTGTCCAGTAAAAGATCACAAGGGACAGAGCAGTCTTCAGCAGTTAAGATACTGCTGTCTCTACACTGTAGGCTTTACAGGGAATTAGAGTTGTCGTCAACTGCAACCACTCCAACCCTTAATGATACAGCAGTACTGTATTCTCTTCACATGCTCTATGTTTAATTTGCCTCAACAACCTAATGGGGCCCCTTTTTACCCCCAGGCCCCATTGCAGCCACCTGGACTGCTATGGCTATAGTTATGCCATTTTATCTATCTATGATTTTTTATTTGTACATACAGTGTAATTTAATACTGATATTTCGACTTTGTAGTACAGTGCATTAATTTTGCTTCATGGTTTCAGGAGGTACGAAGGGACAATTGTGACACTAGATAACAGACGGTAGAAGTTTTGAGAAATATGCAATATAAATCTTTTGTTTAGTAATTTATAATTGGGCTGCAGTTTTTCTTCATGCATCAGCTTTGAATGTCTGTCAACATGTGTTTTTGCTTCTAGCATTGGTTCTAATTTAATTTCCAGAGGCATGTGTCCTTTGATTTCAATCATTGTAGTCTAAAGATTTGTAGGAAGAAAACATGCTTTTCCCCCAAAAAATAAATAAATAAAACACATACAGGAAGATTTTTTTCTGATGGACACGAGTGATATCAGATATGTACTTCTTTATATGGAGAATATTGAAGTAAATTTCCTTAAATAACAAGACGTTAATAGGTTTCTTGAAGTTCTATGATCTCTGTGAAAACACAGACAGTTGTTTAATGGTTTTATATTGCGGACACCCTGTTACATCCCCAGTACCTTACATAGGGTAAGGTAAAGTCCTTCAGACTGCTACACATTGTTATTGTTTTAGGTATATTTAGAAAATTGATAATTTGACTGACACGAATATAAAAGGTCATGGTTCCTCCATGCACAATTAGTTTAGTTTCTTAGGGCCACAAAAACTCTATAATGAAAAGGGCTCTATGCCGCAGACAACTCATGGTCTTGTGGCATGAGCTTCCTCCTATTGGCCAATGAGGCCGCCAATCACACTTTCTAACCACCAGAGAAGGAAGACCTCCTGGTGCATTGTCTTCATTTTACGGAGTGACAGATTCCTTAAATGTGTTTCCAAATGTTCTCCTTAGTGCTCATGCTGCTTTTGTGTATTGGAAAACTGAGGGATTAAAGCCAAAACAGGTGCCTGTTATGTGTCCATTATTTTGGAGAAAGCTCGAAACAGCCATAATGCTTTGTGAGCTATGTGCCCATACATGACAAGCCAAAAATGTGCCACGCGTTCCGGTGCCGGCGATCGCACTGCGGTCAGGGGGCATGGCTGCGGTGCCATTGACTTCAATGCACCACCATGCCCCCTGCCGCCCCAAAACACTCTGGAACACACTCTTCATGGTGTGACTGGGCCCTCAGACTCCATGCCTCGGGAGGGGGGGGGATCTGCATCACCTGTGTCATCTGTAACAACTATGTCCTCTCTTTCTTTTGCTGGCTTATGTGCTTAAAGTTCACAGTTACTGAGACTGATGTAAAATATCACTTTTAGTATTTAAGTGTAATCATGCCTCTATAGATTTCATTAGGATGTTTATTCTACTTTCACAGCAATGTATCGGGAGACTTTTTACTAAACCTGGAGAAGGTTCAGGGGAAATATAAAGCTGTACCCCACCAATCACACATCTTCTTTTTTTTCCCTGGGAAAAAAAATACCATAATATCATCTGACCATGAGTAGCAAGTCTGCTTTTGTTCTCTTTTTTCCCCCAATTGTTATAAATAGGCCCCTAGACACATACATTATAATAGCAACCCTTTCACATATGGCTGAATAGTACAGATATACTGGTTATTGTTTTCAGGATACCTGACATGTGGGCTGGCTTTGTTGTTGTTGGTGGAGAACATGCTCGGAGTAGCCTTGTATAACCTTTTCTTCTCACCAACAGCTGCTTCCAGTTCTGTGTTGTGATGTGATGATAGGAGGTGGGAACATTTGTTTAAAAAAGATGTGTATTTTCAGGATCCTTATTCATTTCTTGTTTAGTTAAAAATACATTCTGGCTTGCCAGAAAATCAACAGTGGCTGGATCCCCCCACCGCAGACCAAGAAACCGGGGATGTCTACTATGATCTCATCCTGGTCACACATGTTAAGTTACAATCGTTTGATATAACAATCAGTTTTAATTAAAATTTGAATCAAATTAATTACAACTTTTAGAAATCGATTGCACTAAACTGGTGCACAGACAAAAATGATTGTTTTGTTCAAAATATTAATTGTTTTCTGTTGACTTGAAAGCGACAGTTGCGGTGACCTGTGTTGTGCTATACCCGGCCAATGCAGGTCATCCCCAGGACACATAGAAAACAAGTGTTTTCTATGTGTCCCATTCACACTACAATGCAGTGGGCAGTGTGCTGCGATAAAATGCAAACATGCAGCGTTTTATGGCAGTGCACTTAATCCAACTACACATGGCTATCCCTATAATGAAGCAGCCTGAGGAAACTGCTCATGGCTGCTCCAGTGCTGGTGGTGCCCTAAATCCAGTTTTTGCACTTCTGTGCTAGAAGCCAGCCTGCAACCCCCTGCAAATTTCTACTAGTCCATTTGTTTGGTATTGTAGTGATAGGCCAATAGGAGCATGCAGAAAGGGTTAGGAATCTAATTAGGGCCGGCTGAGTGTTGGGTGGGGGCGGCCACAGTGTCCCAGGTTGGTATGAACTCTTAGCAGCATTGTCAACTTGTGGGGAGGGTAGTGTTAGATGGACCAGCAGATTTAGATGGACTTGACTAGCAAATTAAAGCCAAACACATGATGGGTTTTGATACACTTTATGGTACTGTGGGGGGGCTTTTGTTCACAGCAGGTAGGTTTTGCATTCCCATACAGGACAATGGGAGTGCAAAACCAACTTGACACCAAACAATTTCAGGTTAGAGGAAGGTCAACTGCGGGTCATGTGCACTTTTTTTTTTTTTTTTATAAATCTTTTTATTCATTTTGCAGTTTATAATACAAATAAACAGGGCACTAACATAGTGCCTTAAGTACAAAATAACACACAGTACGGCATAACATATGCCCAAAATACACACACAGTACGCATAGACAATCCCCGATCAGCATCTCTTGACGGATTAGGCCGCATTCTGTGGCCAGCGTATCCATCCTGGCTATTAGGGTCGTTTTACTGGCCTCAATCGCCGCCAGGATGGCGTCCGTGGCATCTGGAGGGACTTTGCCCTGAGAAGGATGCAGGCTGGCAGCGTTATGTGCTCTCACCTCCGGCTCCATGTCTCCCCACTGAGCGGTCTGCGTGCTAGTGGTAGTGAGAGAGGGAGAGCGTGCAGCCAAGATGGCGCCGGCACGCGTGACAGGAGCAGGGCCTGAAGTCACACCGCTCGCTCGGGGCCGGGCCGATCGCCGTCGGGTTCGCATGGACGGAACACCAGTCGTCACCGGAACACCCGCCAGGAGAAGGTAAGTGTAAAACCACGATTGGGTCAGCTGGGAAGCAGGATGGCTAGACGGATGATCGGAGCTGCTGCAATGGACGTCCGTTCAGCCTCACATCCTGGCCACGCCCCCGGGTCATGTGCACTTTTAATTAATTCTAAATGATCTCTGCAGCATCTCAAACTGATGTTAAACGGATTCCGTTGACACAAGCCCAAAGCCTACTAACAAAGGCTCTAAAAGAACTGTATACAGTCAGAGATGATGCCAAACATATAAAAAAAATAATTTTTGGCCTTCAATGAGAGTGCATGAAACACACATGTACATGCATTTTGGCATGTATTTGGTGTGTTTTTGCGCATAACAACCAGTCTCCTCCTCCTAGCAACATCTATTCTGGCCAGGCTGCATAAGGTGATGGTGTGAGGAAGCCACACTATGCTTGATGTGGGATAACCAATAGGTTTGGTGATTGCAAGGACATTGCTGTATGATCCCAGTGACCACAATTACAAGGATATCTGTACAACACAACAATAGAATAAGCAGAAGGCAAGTACAAGAAAGATGACACCTAATGATGCCACAGCAGATATGCCTGTAATTGGCCAAAGCAATAAACGCGTAAGGCATGAAAACGCATACAATGCATCAAAAAAAGCACATCAACATGTGTAAAACGTATCTATACATGTTAACAAATGCATGCAGATGCCCAAGTGTAAACAGAGACTAAATGAAAACTGCATGGAAAAACGTCAATGGATCCAGAAGTATGGTAGCTAACTTTTTATGCAAATATCAACGAGAAAATCAAGGTTAACTGTGCCCCCCTGAACATGACTTTTCGTCAGTTAGGCGTCATTCTCACAGGCTTTTTAGTGCCGGCAGCAGATTCCTGTGGGAAGTATCAGCTGATTTTTACATCTGGAATCTGGTGGTTCTGGACCCATAGCACTTCCTTCGGAAGAGCTCAGGGTCGTTCCGGGTTCAGTTCACACCTGAGGTTATCCCTATTTATGTACTATGATCACAGAAAATAAGTACTTTAAGTATATTTTACAATGACACTAAACTCAGGAGTTAGATTCCGAGTAAAAAAATTTGCGCGATCGTCGTGCGATTCCGAAGGCTACTTGGCTGTATCCCAATGTAAAACGCCCTACAAAACGGCCCAAAGAAGTACATGTACTTGTTTGAGCGTAGGCCGTTTTGTAGGGCTTTTCAGACGGGCGGAAATACGGAAAGGTGTGAACCAGACCCATAGAAAACAATGGGATTTTCATGTTTGTACGTTTTGTTGAGCGTTCATAGAGCATTGAACGCGCAACAAAACGTAAAGGTGTGAACGGGGCCTTAACGTTTAACAAAAATGTATCTTATTTGTGTATCACTCAGCTGTAGATCCTCCAATCATCTCTGAATTGGTGCTGACACTGTCCTTCCTACTGGGGGGTGACTACTTCTTGTAAAGTAGTCACCACTCCAAGCTTCCTCCCGTGATGGATTACAAACTCACATTTAGTTTGGTAATTTGTATTGAGATTGTAGTCCATCACATGAGTGAGCTTGGAGTGGTGACTACTTTACAAGACACACAGAGACCATGGGGAACAAAAGTAGCCACCCTCCAGAAGGAAGGACAGTGTCAGCACCAATTCAGAGATGATTTGAGGATCTACAGCCGAATTATACACAAATAAGATACATTAAACTATTAACAAAAATTTATTTGAATGCATTTTTAGTAGGGATACACCAATACTGTTTTTTCGGTCAAGTACGAGTACTGATATTTTGCTTTCAGTACTCGCCGATACCAAGTACTGGTACCGGTGCTTTCGTTGGCATGGAGCTGGCTTCCCGGGCAATGTAATGACATGCTGCTTGGTCTCCTGATTGCCCGGGAAGCCAGCACCATGTTGTTTGGCCGCCTCGATTGTGATTCTGCTGGGAAACCAGCTTCCCAACCAATAAGCATCAAGCTGGCAGTTCGGCCGGCTCCATGCTGATTAGCTGGAAAGCCAGCTTCCCAGCCAATCAGCAAGGAGTCGGCTGTTCAGCCAGCTCCATGCTGCTCCATGCTCCATCAGGAAACCGGGAGGCGGGTCATTACTTGCCACTCGGCTTCCTGACTGCCCATGAAGCCGCTCCATGTTCCCCTATGGCACTGCCGGTCAGTGGAAATTTTCTTCTGACTGGAAGTTCCGGGATTGCGGAAGGTATCAGAGCATTTAGGCGGGTACGAGTACTTGCCCAAATACTCGGTATCGGCACGGATAACGATACTAGTATTGGTATCTGTGCATCCCTTGTTTAAACTCCGGAGTTTAGTGTCACTTTAAGATTAGCTTTGTAATAACAAGTTACAATGTGTGTTTTTAAAGAAGGAAAATACATTACAGTATGCAAACCATGTATCCATCAATGCAACAAAAACTCATTTGACTGTAAATATTTTCCTTGTAGGGTAATGTAATGGGTGGCATCACTTCAGTCAACATCGTAGAAGATACTCTTAAAAACGTAACTTCATCCACAAAGAGAAAAATCCAGTCTACAAGTGTGGGAGCAAGCAACCAGCAATGTGCTCAGCTCTGCCGAGAAATGTCCCTAATAATAAAGGAGAAAAAACTGAACATGTGCAGTAAGTAGACCTTTCTGTCTTCTGCGGTTCCTCATACTTCCGTGATGTTTGATAAGCAAAACTTTTTTTCCCATCATACCGCTGGAGTCTGGATGCTGTGGGAAATATAGAAATGTAACCAGATTGGTGAACACTTTTTTTTTAATTAAATATTGTAGACTTCCCATGCCCACCCCAAACACACTCTCCTAGGGCAACTTTGATGCTTAAATGGGAACTCCAAGATGGGACGGAACGGCCCAGTCTGAACCCACTGTACGTCCACAACATGTTGCTGTACACAGTTCTGAAGCGAGCGAGCCATCACAAGGGTGTAACAATATCACTCTCAGCCTCACCCTGCACAGAGATTTCCCAGCTCATAGGACAACAATCTTAGGTCAGCAGACTGAGAGCTGAGAGTCACTAGGTTGGTTAGCGCAGCAGTTAACCCCTTACACCCAAAACAGTAGCTGCCACCACGGGCATTAAACAGAAACATAAACTGTTTTCAGCATATGTTGTGACAATAAAAAAAATGTAAACAAACCCTATGATACCGCTGTCCTCTCAGACAGGAATACGACAGGAATCACTATACAGTAGCGCTCTCTACAGAGACAAGGATACTCTAAGTTCTTATTTAGAGCCTAGAGATAAGCTTAACAATTTTTAAGATCGTCCTTTAATAGAAGAAACGGTGCAGGAAAAATATACAGAAAAAGAAGATAATAAAGAGAGACAGAAATACATCAGTAAAATAAAAAGGAATAAAAAGAGAGTCCTTAACAGTACTTGGTTTATAAGTTCTGACGGAGTCCAGTTCAATGCAGAGAAGATGGCAGAGAATGGCTCTTTCTCCAAGTAAGGCTTGCAAAGATTCTTTCTGCAGGTTAAAGGGGAACTCTTCTTGGATGTTACACAAGCTTCTCTTTCTGATGTTACAAGAGCCTCCTCTTGATTTTAAAATGAGAGCTTCCTTAGCTGCCTCTGGGGCATCTTTTTTATCAGTCCTCTTCTAGGGGGTGTCACGGAGCCGGCCCCTAAAGCAGGGCTAGGTAAAGTGAGCAGGAGGGCTAAGCCTTTACGATGTCCTTCTCTGCTCTTCCCACACTGTCAATATCATAACTATCCATATAGTGTAATATTCTTACATTGTACTGTCAGATAACCCCTAAATTAGTGTGCATCATAAAATTAGCTTTGAATAGAATCCTCACTTGTCAGGTGTACCAATCATGGTTGGCTCAGGAGGGGTAATGTGGCTTGTCAGGTGACCATTGTAACCCACCCATGAGTGATGTGTGGATTTCTCTTGATGAGACACAACTATTTATTTTACAATATCACTCTCCAATTCAGAGCTATGATTTTTAAATTTGGTGGTAACTTCAGTTTATGACTCACCTGGGTCATTTTCCTTGCCAGACCCTCTTGTGTTTACCTAAATCTGTCAGATGTTAATTTATTGGTGATCTGCAATCATGCTTGGTTGACCTCCAAGGTAGCGAACAGAATAACCAAGACGAATGCCGCTCAGCTATTCACTCACTGCTGTTCAGCCCCTATGAGAAAAGGGGCAAACGGCAGCGAGTGAACTGCCGGGCGTTCGGCTCAACCAATCCAGATGAACGGGTTGAACGGGTTCTTCACTTCAGCTCATGTTCGGCTGAACCGAAGGGAGCCGTAGCCAGCTGATGTCAGGTGATGGCAGGGTCTCTGTACAATTGTCAATGCTAAAGCCTGATGAAGGGACCCTGTGCGGTCCCGAAAGCGCTTGTTTGGTCATATGACAAAAAACTTAAATAAATTAAGCTTTTGCTATCTTAAAAGGACTGGTGTGCTGGTGACATTTCTACAATTTTGCTGACATTCGTGGCGCTATCCGCAGTCACTGCGAGCACCCCCCACTACAAGGGACATATCGGTAAGGAGTGCGACAAGGATAGTACTTATAATCTTTTAAGTCTGAGTCCCGCCAACACTCTGTATGGAGCTGGAAGGTTTAGAACCTCTGCCTCAAGTTATTACTGCTCAGTGCTTGTGGGGAAGTGAAATCTCTACCATTGGAAGACACAGAGAACAGTCAAACCCGACAACCCTTCCTTAGCCTGTGCAAGACTCAAAAAAGAGTTTTGGTTGGCAATTGACTTTAATTCATGCTATCTGCTACAAATGTATCTGACATTGTTTCCAGCTACAATAAAAATGTACTCATTTTAAGTTGAACCCAGAGACTTTTTTCCCCCATAAGATATACGAGTTATTCCAACCTATTTCCTAAAGACACAAAAGCAAAATAAAAAGGCAGCTCACTTGGCTACATTTTCTGTTGTCTCCCGCTGAGAATCTGATATTCACAGCTTTCAGTAGGATACGCTCAAAATATTGTAACTCTGTGCCAGGCTTATGACAGATCTTTCAACACATTGCTCATTCCTAATAGGCAAAAAAAGTATTGGGTTCAGCTCACAATTTGTACATTTTAACTGCAGCTGATAACAATGTTATATAACTACGGCTGAAGGGAATAATGCCATTTTGGCATAGCCAGGGCAAAATATTAATTTAATATCAATATTAAATTAAGTTACTATATTTATATAAATATATTAATTTAATTTAAAAAAAATGCAGTACATCTCTGAAATACATGTTCCTATGTTTTATTGTATTAAAGACCCTACACATACAGAAACCACCTGTTGATGTGCCAGAAATGCCTGTGATCTACCTAGCATGCAGTCACCAGGAGTCTTGGGCAGGAGAGAGAGAGAGAGGTACTGTGTGAATGCTATTCGCGAACTCCCGAATGCCATTTGGTTCGTGAGGCATTCGGAAGTTCACAAATGCTATGTAGTATTTGACAGCTGAGGA